CCTATGGGTTCGCCCACCTCTCGACCTCCCCTTGCCAGCTCCCACCACCTTTTTATTTTTATTTATGCTTCATCCGTCCAATATAAACGATTTTTAGAAAAAATAAAAAGTTTGTCATAAGATCATCTTGTTCTGGGTGTACTTTGTTTTTTTTGTTATTAAGGACAAGTTGTTTTGGGTGATGCCAAATTAAAATGGAATCTCAATATTTCCTAGGAGAGAAGGGTTGAGGACCCATAATACTTTGTATTTTTTATATAAATTTTAGACTCTAGATCTTTTAATTTAGACTCCTACGCCCTAAACGAAAGTGGAGGAATACGAGAGACGGACAGGGCTGTCACCACCTGCCGTCTACCCCTCAACCGTGGAGGATAATGAATTCACCTGTCTCTCTGTACCCGAGCACCATGCCAGTCTACGCAGAAACTATCCAAATCCCCTCGGGACTCCGACCCTATGGATCGACAAGTAAAAAACTTGAGCACACCTAAAGGCACGATGAACCGCCACCTCACCTTAGCTCTAATTCTAATCATATTAATGGTATGAATGATTAAGCATAAAGTCATGTATGCTAATCTCTTAACATACAAACTATATACTAGTTCGTATGCTAAGATCAAAACATAAAAACTATACTCTAGTTTATAAGTATGACTATAATTATAAGATAGGAACAAGACTTTGGAAGAACTCATATTTCTATTCATACCAATAATCTCTTCCAAGGAGTTAAGCCTCCAAGATAGCTTTGCCTTGCTCTAGATGACTACTAAAAGTAAAAGTACAAAGGTAGGAACGAGGTGTTGCTCCAAATGGTGTGTGTTGGGAGAGGGCTCTCTCTATTTATACTAGTTTGATGGCGGTTTGGACAGCATATCCGGAGGGAACCCCACATGCAACCGCCTCTGCATACCGCCACTGCACCGCCATCCAAAGGTGGGACGGGGCGAAGCTGGGGGTGGTGCGCCCGCACCTAAGGTGCGCGCCGCACCCTGGCCAACCCACCTCGCCACCGTCTTCGCGTGGTGGATCTCTGGTTGGGCCTAGGCTGCTCCTTGGATGGCTTCGCGCCCGGATTGTCTGAGTAGATAGGCCTTTTTATTATTCCTTGCGCAATTCAGTATTACGCCTTGTTGGAATGCGCCTTTTGGTGTATTTTCCCATGTATTCATGTTTATGTCCTTTAAAACAGTAATCTATAAATACATGTGGAATTGGGTCAATAGTAAATGCATATGTGTATAAGATTGATAATTTCTACTCTTTTATGTCTTAATTGGCGGTTAAAATTAGTAGTTTAGGACCGCCAACAAGATCCCCCAAGCTTAATCTTTTCTAGTCCCTAGCAAATAGCTAAGGACTTGGTTATTGATCAGGAGTTGATATTATGCTGATACAATTCACAAGTGCCATGCCTATAACAAAGTATTATTCCTCAATTCAAATAAGTTTGGCATTCTATCAACCATTTTTACTTAATCCTTGTGGGGCTTAATGTTTTTTCAAGTTCTTGGGTGGTTGCAAGATAGAATGGTTTTAACAGAATTACCAATCATTCATTCTTTGATCAACCTTCTATCCGGAGGTTTTATGAGTTTTGCAAAAATAAAAAGTAAGTTCCTCAAATGATTCACTTATTCGCTCAATGTGTATGGTCCTCACCAAGACATTTGATAGTTTTGCCTTCTTTTCAATCTACCTTTAAAGGTTTTTATGGAATTTTGGGTATGTACGAAGATGAGGCATACTTGCATACATATTTTGCTAAGTCAAAAATCGGATTCAAGGAGATGCAAGTCATACACTTTGATCAAAAAGTGTAATTGTGTGGAATGTTAAATATGATTCCTAATTCTAATATTTTTGTACTCATTTGATCATGACTTTCTCTCTTTTTAATAATTGCCTTTGAAAGTGTGGGCAATCTTTATTTTTTTTCATGCTCTTTGGCATGCTTTTTTTTCTCTCATGCTTTTTAGCATGGATATTTTCTCTCTTTTTTACATAGCCCCATACTCTCTTTTTGGCATATGAAAACTTTAGAGAGAAAGACTCATGACAAGTGGATGGAGTATTTATTTCGGTGGATGGAAAAATATGTTTTTGCGTAACTCTCAACATAAGAGTTAGCATTTTATATATAGGTGTACGTGAATCTTGATCATGGGTGCATGGCGAGAATCTCAACAAGGGTGACCAACAATTTGACAAAACTCAATGTAAATACAAGTAGCATATGACTAAAGTTTTAAATTTGAATCATGTCATATGGCTGTGGTAGGAATTTATAATCATTGAGAAACTTTTCATTTTAGCATTTAAAATTAAAATCCCGGATGTCAAGTTTATCATAGAACAAAGTCATAGCATATTCCATTACCATAGCATAACTCGCAACAACTTAGAAAAGATCATGCTTTTGCAACCCATAAGTTTTTAAGTTTTTAGGATGAGACATTTTTAGCCAACAAATTTAAATCTCGGGGAATACTAAGTTACAGCTTAGACATAGATGAATTATAGACAGATCAACTATTCATCATTTCAACAAAGGAAAAACTAAACATTCTTAAACACATACGTGAAGTGGAATAAATATTTTTATTGTTTTTTATCATATTTTATTTTTTTGTATTTTTATTTTTTAGTTTTTTTAAATGCTAATAATTAAATGAATGTAGAAAATAAATACGAAAAATAAAAGATACAAGTTACCTCAGCGGGGTTCTCCCCCGAGCTAGCTCAAAGCCAGATGTGTAATATGTTGCTTGCTGACGACTCCGAGGTAAATTATTTGTTTGTGTTTTTTCTTATATATGGTTATGCCTCTGTTTATATATGTTCAACCAATGTCTCACTAAGCAGTTCTAGTTCCATGATCAAGCTGGACACCATGTTTCATTTGATCGATGTAGATTACTTAACCTAAACATCATGCTTAATTTAAAAAGTCCATAAAAGTATGATTGATCGCTAAATCATACCCAAACCAAAACATACTATATATAGAATATTGGAAGATAACTGGCATTTATTCAATGGAGATGAAAGTATTTTAGAAAATGAACTAGAGGTTTAAACTTTTATTTTTAGTATATTTAATGCATAGACTATGGTTTTTATTTTTTTTTCTAAGTTTTAGCGGCCAGGGAGGGGCTTGGGCAGGGGGCATCGCGCTGGGGGCAACGCGTGGCCTGGGGAGGCATGGCTCGAGGGCGGCGGCGGCTAGCGTCGGAATCCCGGCTCAACGAGAGTGTGCGAGAGAGAGGAGAAACAGAGCGGTGCAGAAGAATCATAAGGACACCCATAGTCAGCATGCCACGTCAGCATGTAGAGTGGGTTCAGACCTGTTTGGACCCAAATAAGATCCGAAACCAAGTTTAAGGACCCTAAAATAGTATTTTGATAATACGGGGATCTGGATGACACCTCATGCCAAGTTCGAGGACCGACCATGAATTTTTCCCTACATAGAAAGTAGCAAATTTTTTTGTGTGCGTTTTGATTGTGCCATCTGGTTAATGGAATTTGTTCGTATATAATAAAAAATATATATATGAACGCGTTTAGATGGACTCCGAGGGATGTGGATATCCGTGGACATTCGTGAATCAGTAGTGCTAGTGCCAGTAATATCCATCAGTTCATATAATAATCGTACTGTAATTTTGAACAGGACAGTTTTGGATGTATGCACAAGGATCAGCTGTGTTCGAAAGGTCCTCCATTTTTGCCGGCCCACGCCAGCAAGGCGGCTAGCCAACCTGAAATACGAGCTGACATCAAATGGCAACCTGAAGTAAGAGCTGACATCAGAACTCTGAGATTGTCTATATCATATTGTATCAACCCTTTTCCGGAGAAAAGAAAAGAATATATTTTAAAAATCTTTAGCTGAGGTGGCACCCATCACCACACCACATGCTGTGATGATCAGCGAGCGCCCCCCCCCCAATTTCCCCGTTTTTCTATGTTTTTTTTCTTCTTTTTCGGAAACATCTATTTCTGGGCTATCCGGAAAGCGAACTGCCAGTCTGCCACCACCGCTGAACTTTTAGCCGAGCGAGCGCTGCTGGATGGCGAGGGGGAAATCAGGTGGGGAAAGCTTAAAATTAGAAGTCCAGCGCAATAATTGAGCAGGCAGGCCCCTCCTAATCACTGCCCTAAACATGTGTGCCGGGCCGAGGTGATAATCGATGCACGGAGGAGGATGCCGCCGTGGCCGCGGAGATTGATAATATAAAGCAGGCGGAGACCGCCGCCCCCTCTGGCCTCGCTGCTCCCCGTTCCTCCCCCCACATGCCCTGCCCCCGCCCGGCCCTGCCCTGCTGCGCCCAAGGTGATTGATTGGTTGCTTTGCTTAGCTACGTTTCACGCTTTCCCCCCCTTCCTTTGCTCCCATCTACCACCGATCCAAAAGCTGAGATTCAGCTTGTGGATCGGTCTGTTCATCTATCTACTAGTATCTTATCGCCAGATTGGGAGTTTGTGTGCCTGCTGCTTCCTGTGGATCCATCTGTCTGTGCGGAATGATGATTGAGCCATTTTTTCTTCGTTCATGGTACTTTGATTGATGATGTGTATTTTGTTCTGTTTGTTTCTTCTTGTTCACCTTGCGAAATTGTTCCATCCATCCCTGTTGCCCTGTCCATGTTGTTTTCCTGATTGATTGAATTGTGTGTTGGTTGCCTTGCCTGGTGGTTGACCTTGCTCCTGCGTGCTAGTTGAGTAACACCGCGTCCTTGTCTTTTGATTTACGAGCTTTCAAAGAAGCCGCGTCTGATCTGTCCATCACAAGAGCACGCAAATGATTCGATCTGCCGGGCCAAATGATTCCTGCATTCAGTGGGACTGATTAGATCATCCACGATGGATTGTAGCGTCAAAACTCTGATCTTTCCTTGTCGATTTGTTTTGTCGCAGCTGAATCTCCGCATAAACAATTAGAGTAGCTGCATTGGCGGGGAAAGCGCGAGGCGAAAAGCTCAGCAGCAATGGCGGAGCAGGCGGGAGCCGGAAGGTACTGGTGCCACATGTGCGCCGCGGTGGTGAGCCCCGCGGAGGGGGAGGCGGAGATGAAGTGCCCGCACTGCCACAGCGGCTTCCTCGAGGAGATGGAGACCGCCCGCGGCGCGGCCGCGGCCGCGATCGACGACGGTGACGGTGACGGTGACGGCGACGGCGACGGCACGGTGGCTCAAGTGTACCCCGGCGGCGCCGACCGCCCGAGCTCCATCTGGGCGCACGCTATCCTCAGCACGGTCGACAGCTCCGTCCGCCGCCGCCGCAACTGGCGGCAGCAGGAGGCCGCCGGCGACGTCTACGACTGGAACGACCCCGAGTTCTCGCTGCGCCGGCGGCGTGTCACCGCGTTCCTGCAGCTCCTGCACGAGCTCCGTGACCGCCAGCTGCAGCGCCTGGAGGCTGCTGCCGGCGTCGCCCTCGAAGGCGACCAGCTGACCCCGTTCGGCCGGAGCCTCTTCATCGGCGCAGCTGGCGGCGACGGCGGCGGCAGCGAGCATGGCCTGGCGCTGGGCGACTACTTTCTCGGCCCCAGCCTCGATGCATTGGTGCAGCAGCTCGCCGAGAACGACGCAGGGCGGCAGGGAACGCCGCCGGCCAAGAAGGAGGCCGTGGAGGCAATGCCGACCGTGGAGATCGCCAGTGGCAACGACGACGACACGGCCAGCTGCCCGGTCTGCCTGGAAGACTACGCGCCCGGTGAGAGCGCCCGCGAGATGCCCTGCAGGCACAGGTTCCACGCCAATTGCATCGTGCCGTGGCTCGAGATGCACAGCTCCTGCCCTGTCTGCCGGTTCCAGCTGCCGGCCACCGACGACAAGAGCTCATGCAACAGCGGCGACGGTGGTTTTGTCAGTGTCGATGCGGATCGTGAAGGCAATGACAACGGCGGTGGTGATGGTACTGGTAGGGCAACCTCTCCTCCAGGCAATGCCGAGCCAGCTGGAGCCGAAGAGAGCGGCAGACGGTTGCCGCCATCCTTACAGTGGCTCAACAGCCTGTTCTCGCCGTCGGCGCAGTCCTCTGGTAGCGGCAGCAGCAGTTCGCATCATTGGGAGAATTGAGTAACAATGCAATGCCAATATACAAGGATGGATGGTTGCTGCTGCTTGACAGCTTGAGCCCATTGGTGCCAATGTACATAGGAAGGAGCAGGAGCATGCTGGGTTGCTGCCATGGAAATTTGGAGCCTTTTTTCAGTGTGTTAGTTTGGCTCATGTAATGTTCTCTCTGATACAGTTATCATGGTTGTAAAAAGAACAGAAATTGGCAAGTGTATGAACTTGCCTCTTGCGTGAACTGGGTGCTTATCCGGCCTGTTCGTTTGGCTGGGCTGGTTCGTGAAGAAGTACTGCTGGCTGGTTTGTGTGAGAGAAAAATACTGTTCCGGCTGGAAATTTACGATCGTTTACGACCGAGGCTATCATCGTCTTACAAGTCAATTTTGGTTGACCATTTCACCCCAGCCGAACAGGCTATCATCGTCTTACAAGTCAATTTTGGTTGACCGTTTCACCCTAGCCCAACAGGCTATCATCGTCTTACAAGTCAATTTTGGTTTTCCGCAGGATGCTAATCACGGGTCTACCAACTTAATGACCACTAGCGTGTTCGGCTCGTCTCAGCTTGTTTCAGTTTATTCTCTCTCACATAACACTATTGAATCAGCCAAAACCAGCCGGAACAAACTAGTACACAGCAGTTTTTGTGTACCAAATTTAATAGGCCGCACATTTATAATCAAAACTTAATTTTGCCAAAACAATAATAAAACCGTTGCAAAACACTGCCCGTGAAAACTACCTGCTTCTGTAAGGTTTCAGCTACACAGGTTGTCTGTTTGATTTTGTCAAAGAACCAGTTGGCAGGGTAACACCTCAGTGTTAAGCATTGTATTTGACATTTGCATTTCACGAGCACAAACATCATCCATTCATTCATGAGCATGAGCATATGAAATTTCATTTCATTCTTTATACATTATCACATATGATGTTGATTATATATATGCATATGCTTGTAATCATGTATGACCAATGTATGAAATGGTTGTGAGGTCATGAAAACACCTTAGACACATTTAGGATAGTAAATGGAACAATGTTTATATTCATGACATGGGTTAATTTTGCTTCTAAGTGTTGGTTTACTTTGAAATGTCTTTTACATGATGATAGTTTCACCAAACTTGAACAGTAGCTTAGAGTGTTTGCATGACTATGTGACCTAAATAAAAGTTGTAGTTCTTGTTATGGGTAACAAACTTTATTTAAGGGTCATGAGCTGAATCAGTGCCTAACATGGTTAAAAAACAGCTCCAAAGTAGCAATGAAATGCTGTTTCTAGACTTGGAAATTTTGCTAAGTCCCGAATGCTGATTTCGGTTTCAAAGTACCTTACTTTAGAGCTTTGTAGTTTGAAACCATTGCGAATTAGACAAAACTCCTTTAAGCAATCTTTAGTATTCATGTAGCTCTATAATTTTTATTAAGGAAGTTTTTGCTAAATCGCCACGGATTAAGAGGACTGATCGCTTGAACTTGCTTCGTCAGTCGGGTTCAGTGGTGTCTGAACCGGCACCGCGCACGCGTCGTGGCCGACCGGCGTCAGGCCACGGCCGCCGCGTGGAGGTCGTTCGCCGGTGTCGGGCCCTCGCGTCAGGCCAGGGCGGGCAGCAAAACCGCACGACGCCGCTGCTCTCTCTCACTCGCACTCACTCTCTCTGCCTCGCTCTCGCTCCGCTCTTGCGCCCGAGCGAAACCGAGCGCCGTCGCCATTGCTGCCGAGCTCCGCCACATTCGCTCGCTGCCACCACCGCAACACCATCCACTACATCTCGCCCACAGCTCCGCCATCATCTCCTCCACCTCCCCAAACCGCCTGTGCCACCATCCAAGCTCAGGTGAGGCCGCAGTTTGAGTTCACCGTCACCGCGCCATCGCCGGAGCACCACCGACCTCGCGCTCACCGTGGTCGTGCTCCACCAAGCCGTCTTGCTCACTCTCTTCCCTCGTTAAGGTTAGCATAGGGTCACTGAAAGGTCCTTGTATGATTTTGGTAATTGAGTGACAACCCTAGGTGGACTAATTATGTTTATGTGAGATACACAGGTGATTAGTCCACAGGTACATGTGTGTGAGCAACATATGCCATGAAGATAAAAATGGCGCGGAGATGTTGCAAAGCTCACACATGTGATGATGAAGGAGCTTATTGCACATGAGACATGACATTGAGTCATGTGATCAAGGTGGAGAAGATCAAAACATGACTTGGCTTGATGGACCGGTTGCAAGTGTGAAGGGCAAGTTGGGTGATGACTTGGCGCTGATGGACCAAGGCAACGGTGAAGAGCAAGTGAAGTCAAGATCGATGAACCAATATAATCATATGATGATATGAAGTGAATCATATCATTGTCGATCATGTTGGTGCATGTGTTGTATCAACATTGGAGGAGATGGATTGGAATGTGCAAGGCAAAGGTATAACCTAGGGCATTTCATTTTACTAGTCATAGGTGTGTAGAGAAGTTGATGACCGGGTTTAGGATAGATGGCCGTACTATCAAGAGGGGCAAAACTTGTTTGCATATCGGTCATCTAGTGCCACTTGAGTGATCTAACTTTGCATCATCGCTAGGATTGAGTGGCATGGCAAGTTGAGTGGCTAATCCATTGGAAAATGTTTATGAAAAGCTAACGCACATACATATGGTGATGTACACTTGGTGGTGTTGGTACATTTGCAAACGAGAAGTTAGTGAAGAAAAAAGAGTTAGTCGTGCTGGTCACAGAGTGACCGGATGCGTCCGGTATGTGGCTCGGTACTGAATAGCAGAGAGCGACCGGACACGCGTCCGGTGTGAATCAGCAAAGTCGATGTTCAGTGTAACAGTTGATCGAATGCTGGGAGCGTCTGGTCCGGAGTGACCGGAAACGTCCGGTCGTGCCTAGGAGCTTACTGGACTCGACCAGACGCTGAGGCTCAGCGTTCGGTCACTTTCTAAAGACGCGTCCGGTCGGCCCTAGGAGCATATGGGACTCGACCGGACGCTGTGGCTCAGCGTCTAGTCATTTTGAACAGCACATCCGATGCGACATGATAGAGAGGGCCATTGGCGGCAACGGCTAGTTTGAATGGGACACGTGGCGGGTCAGCTGCGACCGAACACGTCCGGTCACCACCAGACGCGTCCGGTGCAAATGACCTGTGCGTCCGGTCATCCCAAAATTTGCCCAGTGAAGGGGTTGAAAGCATCTAGGTCTCTAGTTGGGTTTCGGTGATTAATGACAATACGTGATTACTATGACTAATGTGTGTTTTGCAGAGGCAATTAAGTTAGGTCATGGTAATGGAGATCGATTGGGCAATCATGGTGGTCATGCCCCTACGATGGAATCGTTTCAGTTTTCAAAGGATGGACGACAAGGTTAAGGATGGACTAGTTCTAAGTGTCAATTGGAGTTGAGGAGACACTTAGAGTAGTTTAGGACTTTGTTTTTCCTTTGGTCGTACTATTAAGGGGGGTATGGATGGGTAGCTTGATCTAGGTGAGTCTAGTGAGTTAGGTGTGGTGCACACTTGTTAAAACTAGCACTAGGTAGCTCCAAAACAGCCCTTAGATCCAATGGAGCAAACTTCATTCACATATGATCAAGAGTTGGAAGTGAATAGAGGGTCAAATACTGACCGGACACTGGTTCCGGGTTGATCGGACGCTGGCGCAGAGTCCGGTCAGTTCATTTGACCAAGGTGAAATTGTCTAGCGTGACCGGACGCTGAGAGGTGAAGTGACCGGACGCTGAGAGCCAACGTCTGGTCAATTCCTGTAAGGTTCTAGAGAGGGAAAATTGCGACCAGATGCGTCCGGTCACACTGTAAACACTGGAGTTCGGGGTGTAGTGACCGGAGCGTCCGGTCAACATGACCGGAGCGTCCTGTCACCCCGTAGAGGCACATAACGGTTCATTTTTCAGCCGGTGTTATAAATTCAACCTCCACTCGTGTGTGGGGGTACTTTTGCTCATTCCAACAGCTGAGAAACACCTTAGAGAGTGCCAAGAAGAGCAAGGTCCTAGTGAGGTGTTTGAGATTTGAGAATCCCAAAGAGAGCCCTCATTAGTGAGATCAAGAGTAGCAAAGTGTGCATCCACCCTTCTCATTAGGCTTGTCGTGGTCAATTGAGAGTTCGTGCTTGTTACTCTTGGTGATCGCCATCACCTAGACGACTTGGGGGTGATTGGGAGCTAGGTGATCATCTGGAGAGCTTATGGATGACCCAACTCAAGTTGTGAGCGGTTGTGGGTGATTCACCGCGATGGAGTGTCGCAGACTCAACCCGTAGAGAGCACTTGATCCTTGCGCGGATCAAGGGGGAGCTACACCCTTGCGTGGGTGCTCCAACGAGGACTAGTGGGGAGTGGCGACTCTCCGATATCTCGGCAAAACATCGCCGCATTCCTCCTTCTCTATTTACTTTGAGCATTTACTTTGAGCAATTAAATTCTTGTCATTTATATTCTTAGAATTGCCATGCTAGAATAAGATTGGAACATAGGTTGCAAGTCTTTTGTGCGATAGAACAAATTAGAAACACTTTCCAGGCACAAGGGGTTAATTGGGATAACCATATGATTTAATTATTGCAAAGAAATTTAGAATTAGCTCAATTCACCCCTCTCTTGGGCATCTTGATCCTTTCAATTGGTATCAGAGCCTCGTGCTCACGTATTTAGGCTTAACCGCCTAGTGAAAGATGTCTCACGGGGATGGACCTCCTCCTATCTTTGAGGGGGATGATTTTCCATATTGGAAAATTCGTATGGAGGCGTACTTAGAAGCTCTAGATGTTGGAATACTTAGAGCCACCTCTCAAGGCTTCCCAAAACCTAAGGATGCTACACACCTACAAGGCGATGAGGTGAATTACGAAAAATAGAATGCAAAGGCTCGAAACACCATCTTTAGAGGCCTTTGCAAAGATGTGTTCAATCGGGTGAGGAACTACAAAGACGCCAATGCACTATGGTCGAACGTTTGTGCACTCCATGAGGGAACAAAG